TTCTTGGATTATGTGTTGAAGTCCTGTGCTGCAGGCGTGTGCGTTGAAGGGTCAGCCCTGGCTGGCGCAGTAGGCCGGGTCGTGTCCGCCTTTCATCAGACACCTGAGAGCCAAAAAGCTTTTTTTCAGTCTCTCCAGGGGGAAGCTGGCTAGTTAGTTCCCTTCTGCATCTAAATTTCCCAAAAGGTCTATCTGCATAATATGTGCAATGGAAAAATGGCTGTTGTTTCTGAAATTTGAATTTTTTTTCTTTTCTTTTTTTTTCTCCCTGCGCTATACTTTAGAACTCCCTGTTAGATAGAAGCGCCCTACTTGTAAGCAGGAAAGGAAAACCCTCACAGATTGTCTGGTGATTCTACCTTTGTTCTAGAAGGCGTTCCTGTCGAGGTCGTGGTCCCGTAGGTTAGCTGCCCTCTCTCTCCCCCCGCGCCCCTCCCCCCGCCCCGAACTGCCCATCACGACCAGCGAACGTCCCTTCGGTGTGGCGCCCGGGCAGCTCTGCCCCTCCCGGGATCAGCTCTGCACCGCAGCCTGCGTGACGGAGCCCCCCGCCCCTCCAGAGGTCTGCACTAGGGTGTGGGCTGAGTTCTTCTGTAGAGATGAACATGATGCCAATAAAATGTAACGAGAACAAAGACCATCTGCTTTTGCCTTTTGTCCTTCTTCCAGACCCTTGGCTCGGTGAAGACCGTGGAGGAGTGGCACCCGAGTACTGCTCCAGCCCCCCAGTGCCTGGCCCTCGTTTGGTTTCCAAGTCACAGTATTGGGGTGGCCCTGGGCCCCTGCTGAAGGGCGGCAGGTCACCACAGGCCCATGCCAGCCTGCAGGCCCGACCCCAGCCTTGGTGCTGGTTGTCCCTGAGCTGGTGGCGAGTCCTTGTCTTACAGGACAGGGAGGTGGGAGGGCGGGGGGCCTGTGTCCCAGCAGTTGTGGAGCGGCCCATGGAGCCAGTTTGCTTTCCCGAGACATGTCCGTTGTCGGAGTTGGTGTCTGGCTGCCGCAGACCTTCCATACTGGCTTAGGCCTGGAGTTCTTGACTTTTCTCCCTTCGCGGGCTTCTCCGTGGAGTTCTTTCTCGTGTCTGCCCTTGGGTCGCGGTCCATGTGGTCAGAAAGAACATTCTCAAGTATTCACAATCGCACCTCTGGCCGTGGCATAGGTCCCACCAAACCCTGACCCTGTGGGGTGGGAGGAGCAGCCTTCAGTGTGGGGGGTCTGGGCCCCGCGCCCAGCCACTAGCATCTCACATGGACCGAGCTTGGCACAAATGAACCCTTGTCCCTGCTGTAGTTTGTCCTGAATTCAAGTTTGGCCATGGGGGGACTGGCCTTTCGCTGTGTGTGTGTTGGGGGGGGTGAGGGGGGAATTGCCTTTCACTCTGTGTCTGTGTGTGTATTGTGTGTTGTGTTGTTAGATTGTGTGTGTGTTGATAGGGGGGAACGACTGACATTTCGCTGTGTGTCTGTGTTGGGGGAGACCCCAGGGGTCTGCTCTGGTGGGTAATGGGTCGGCCACATGTAAGTAGTGCCTTAACCTCACTCTAGCTGCCCTAAGAAGAATCTTTTTTTTTTTGGGGGGTCACACCCGGCGATGCCCAGGGGTTACTCCTGGCTCTGCACTCAAGAATGACTCCTGGCGGTGCTCAGAGGACCCTATGGGATGCTGGGAATCGAACCCGGGTCAGCCATGTGCAAGGCAAATGCCCTCCCCGCTGTGCTATTGCTCCAGCTCCCCCTAAGAAGAATTCTGATCTTGACTGTCTCCGCAGTAAGAGTGCGCCTTTTTGAGCCAGCCCATGTTGCAATGTTTTCCTATTGGGAAACCCTGGCCCGAGGGAAGGTCTTACCTTTAAGGATGCCTGAGGGCTGGGGAAGTAGCTTCAAGCACTGCATCACATGCTTTGCAGCTAGAGGCCCAGCTCTGCTTCCTGGCACCTAGGGTCCCTCTTAAGAACAGCTGCCAGGACAGCCCAGATAGAGAAGGGAGCACCAAATAAAGGGTGTTGGGAGGATCCTCCCAGGATGGGAGAAGCATGCTGAAAGTAGACTATAGACCGAACATGACTGCCACTCAATGCCTCTTTTGCAAACCACAGCACCCAAAAGGAGAGAACAAAAGGGAATGCCCTGCCACAGAGGCAGGATGGGATGGGAGGGATGGGGGGATGAGGGGTGGGAGGTATACTGGGATCCGTGGTGGTGGGAAATGGGCACTGGTGGAGGGATGATCACTGTATAATTGAAACCCAAGCACAAAAATTTGTAAGTCTACAACTGTACCTCATGGTGTTTCACTAATAAAATTTAAAAAAAAAACTAGATAAGTGGCAGTTAAATAAATAAAAAGAACAGCTGCCAGGAATAGCCCCCCAGGCCTCGAAAAAAGGGTGTCCTAGAGGGCTCAGTGGGACCGTGGGCTAAGAATATGCTTCATCCACTGGAGATCTGGGGGTCAGTCCTTGGCTCCTCGGGGTCTGAGAGCAAGCAGCTCCCTGTGCCTTCCCTAACAGCCAGCGTACACCAGCATGTAACCAGGAACTGCATAAACGATTTGAGAGTGAGCCCGCTGCATGGTTAATACCACGTGTGACCCTCATCTTGCTTGGCACAGACCCTGCTTTTGAGGTTGCTGTGTGCCGCTGAGTTTATTCATCTCCATTAACTAGTACAGCTGCCTGGATGGGACACATCCAGGCTTTTGCCTCTGATCTGACCTTAAGCTTGACCTTGATGTACCTCTTACCTTCAGGTTCCTGAAGATCCTCTGTTGGGCCACACCCAGAGGTGCTCAGGGCAGACTCCTGACTCTCCAGCCCCATTTACGTTTCTTTTTTTTTGTTTTTTGGTTTTTGTTTTTTGGGTCACACTTAGGCGTCACTCCTGGCAGGCTCAGGGGACCCTGTGGGGTGCCAGGGATCGGACTTGGACAGTCCCCGTGCAAGGCCAGCAGCGCCCTCCAGCCCACTCTGAAGTTACCATCCAACTCCCACTCGGACGCTTGGCTTTGACCTTCACCTGATACCCACCTTCATCTTGATTGTGCTTTGTTTTAAAGTGACCTTGCAGGTTACCTGGAACTTTTCTGTGAACCTGACCTGGCATTGAGATGACCTTGATTTTGAACTCGCCTTAATACTAACTCATCAGTCCCACACACTGCGAGTATCATGCCCTTCATGGAGTGCCAAAACTTTGAACTTGGCACTAAATCTCAGAATGACCATTTCAGCCTTGGGCTTTCCCTTATAAACGATCACGATCATGACCATCCTGTTGTTCGTCAATTGCCTTGAGCAGGCCCCAGTAACGTCTCCTTCGTCCTAGCCCTGAGAATTTTTAAAAAGTGCCATATTCGGGGCTGGAGCGATAGCACAGCGGGTAGGGCGTTTGCCTTGCACGCAGCCAACATGGCCAGCACAGGTTCGATTGAGACACCCATCATTGTTACTGGTATTTGGCATATTGGGTATGCCACGGGGAGTTTGCCAGACTCTGCCGTGTGGGCAGGTTACATTTGGTAGCCTGACAGTTTGTCCAAAGTAAGAATGAGATTGCGGCCGCGCGCTTTGGGGCTTCCGGGAGCTGGGTTTTATAGTCTCTGGGTCTTGGCTGTTGATGGGATTACACGTGCCAGGGGGCCAGTTGGGGGTGTGACCCCTGCCTACTGGAATATGGAGGATCTGGGTGGAGGATGCTCAGCCCCGATCCGAGCAGGCTTGGAGATCTCAGCCCCGGGCCCCGCATGCCTTTGTTCCTCTGCCGGTACCTTCATGCATGTGGAGAGTGGTCTGTCTCAGCATGGTGGTGGCTGGTTCTGGAGGTCTTCGGCTGCCGGAGCCCTGGTCGGGGCGGGGAGGGAAACTCAACCCGCTCCCTCCAAGGGGCCCCGGCGAGGACAGCCAGGTGCGGGGGCAGGAAACTATATTTTATACCTTATAAAATTGCTCTTAAACCTGGAGATCAAAGTCACTGCCGACCATCCTTCACTTGATCACCTTAAATGTGATCCTCAAACCTTCAAATTGACTTTTTTTTTTTTTTGGCTTTTTGGGTCACACCCAGCAATACTTGGGTTACTCCTGGAATGAACCATATGGGATGCCGGGGATCGAACCCGGGTCAGCCACATGCAAGACAAGGGCCCTCCCTGCTGAGCTGTCGCTCCCGCCCACTTTGAACTTCCTTGACCCTAATTTTGCCCTCCAACTAGTAATCCTGATTCTGATACTCTTGAAGTGACTTTAGATGAACTTTGAAATTGACCTGGATCCTGGCCTTGGTCACTGTTCTGTTGAGGCCTCAGATGTAGCTTGGCCTGCTTTGGGGGTTGGGTGTCCTGAGTAGATTTATAGAGTGTTCCCAGCAGTACTTGGACTGTGGGACTCTGAATGTTTGTACTCGGACTGGAGCAGTCCTGCAGTGGGGAGGGCACTTGTCTTGCACTTGGCGGACCCGGACTCCATCCCCAGCACCCCAATATGGTCCCCTGAGCACCATCAGGAGTGATTCCTTCGTGGAGCCGGGAGTTAACCCTTGAGCATCACCAGTTGTGGCCCCCAATTTTTTTTTTTCTTTTTGGGTCACACCCGGGAATGCACAGGGGTTACTTCTGGCTCATGCACTCAGGAATCACTCCTGGCGGTGCTCCGGCGACCATATGGGATGCTGGGAATTGAATGCAAGTCGGCCACGTGCAAGGCAAACGCCCCACCTTCTGTGCTGTTGCTCCAGCCATGCCAGATTTTTTTTGAAATGTTAAGTTTGGTGCTCAGAAGGCCTGTCAGTGTGCCTGGGATCATATAGAGGGGCAAGTGAGTCACCCCAACCCTTTGCATCCGTGACTTAATCCCACCTTGAGCCGTGAGTCATTCTGACCCTGTCTCTGAATTTGATTTTTTTAGTTTCGTTGTTTGGGCTGTGCTCAGGGCTCACTCCGGGCACTCTCCCTGAATTTGAAGTAATGTGAACATTGAACATAACCTTGAACTAGAAAGTGTTCAG